TTACTCAAAAAACTCAAATTTCCTTTATGTAATCCCTAAAACCTACTAAATGCATTTCAAACGTTTTTTTTTACTAAATCCTTATAGTTTATATGTCATTTTCTCTACCATATCTCAAAACAGAATCAGTCAATTCTACCTACCTCGTAACCATCAAAAAAAATCAAAATAAACGTAAATTAACCTTCTTTTCTTTATAGAATGACTTCAAATTGTAACCTGAAACTACATTTATTTATCCTAAGTAGCTTTAAGTTTGTAACATTATACATCTATTTATAATTAAATCTTATTGTTTTATTGCTCTTTGAACCATGTTTAACTGCTATCCCCACCATTATAAGTTGTAAATCACTCGGGGAACGTGCAGCTCACGTTACGCTATCGAATTACATTACCCACGAGCTGCTCGCATGCATGCCTCATGAACCATTTTTATTATACTATTATTATTATTACTTATTTTACCTAATCTAGTCATAAATAACTTAAAAAGATCCATACTTTTAATTTTAGTTACTTTTATAATAGTAAATAAAGAATAAATATGAAAAACAAGAAATAAAGTACTTACCCAATCTTCTTTTTTCTTGCCCTCGATTGTCAAGGAGAGTTAAGCCTGATTTTTTTTTGTGATTATAGTAAAGCACTTAACAATTTTTATTTAATTTAATAATACACCAAAGAATATAGACTAATAACATGCAAAAGTAGACAAATTCACTTCTAAAAATTTTTCTGGCTTTCTAACTATGTGACAAAAGCCGTTAAGTTTCCCATGGGAACGATGTTGCTACTCCGAGTGAAATTGACAATTATCTGTTCAGAACACAACGTTATACAATACGCCATTTGATACATGAAAACCTTGACTTTCTATTGGTTATCGGTAATATATAATGAAACATAAGAGGGAACTGTCAACAAATTGTTAAAGAGAGGATGTGACAAGTGGGTGTGACAGGAGAGGTCTGATTTTCTATTTGATAGCTCTGTAACCAAACAATATTGACAGCTGTAAAGATTATGGTCTGTTTGAGCAATAATGATTTTTAGAAAGTATTTTGCATTTAATTTCGTACATTTTCAAGGGGTGATGGATAAAATAGGGATGATGACATGATAAGGCAAAATGTGTCACACTAGTGGAAATTCAGGATTTTTTAATATATTTCCTTGTAGTATTAAGAACTTAAAACTTGTATGCTATTAAAATATGGATTATTAGCTAAGCTTTTATGCTATTCTAATTGGTATAACATAAACAAAAAGTGTTTTAATAAAATTTTTAATGTGAGACACTAAAACTTTCTGTCATGCACAGTGAAGTGTACCCAGGCCACTAGGGTTAAATGACAATGATGTATGTATTTTATGGCATATGACATATACTGTTTTTTTCATGAAAAAGCCTCTAAAAATCATCCTGCATCTAATAGCTGAAGTTAAAGAAAATGTATCTCTCAGTTTTGCCCCATAAGCTAAATTCTACCTAGTCTTTCACCAGACAACTATAGATTAAAATGTAAAAGTTATTCTATACAAAAATATATGATTAAGCTTATAATTAATGTTTAATGTAAGTGTTTCTGAATTCTCATGAACACTACTTTCTACTACAGTTCTTATTTGCAACATGCAACAGTTCTTAAGCTGCTCACATGCAAAAGATACCCTGGCCTTTTTCCTTACTGCAAAGTCAGGCCAGTACAGTTAACTCGCTGAGGACACTGATATCCACAATGAACACTAATGGAAATATGCTTATCTTTTGAAAAATACAGAAATAATTGTGAAAGCTTTCAAAAAGTGTGGCATTAGTAATGCACTAGATAGAATTCAAGATGATACACTATTTATAAGCAGTAATGATGAAGATTTTGCTGGATATTTAGATAATTAAACCTATTTTTTGCAGAACAGTGTTTTTTGCTCTTTATCTTGTTGTTTTACTGAAAAGCTTTTTCTTATTATGCAAATTTGATTTAATATGTTGCATATATGATATTTTCATTGAAATAAGTTGTTCTTGATATGCAGATTTTATGTTTCATGTTACTTGGAGTAAACATTAAATGATTTGATACACTCAAATGTTTTTTTCCTAAATATTCTTTGCTGAAATATGAGTGTGTCTTATATGCTGTAAAATATGGTACACTATATAGAAAGCTATTTATTGTATAACAGTGATATACTGTGCATATAATGTTGACTTCTGTAACAATTATTTAGGTTGGTTAAAAAAACTCATTCTTGTATCACTATGAAGTACACTTGCATTGTTTACATTTTACAGAACGGTACAGTGTTCATTTTACCAAATTCAAAATCATTCAGTGACAAGACATTTAAAATTGGATTGTTTTCTATTTAATCTTTAGCCCAAATTTTGGAAGAGCTCTTTTATTATTTGCAGTTGAGGATTTTAAAAACTTAACTTCAATGATAAACAATGTTAAACTGTTAACAAATAGTAAGTACTTTGTTCTTACTGATTTTGAGATCATTCAACAAAAAGTAAACTTTGCAGTTATTTATTGTATTCATGATAAATCATGAAATAGAGGATTTAAAATCGATTCTCACTTATTCAATGGTGTGAAATCCACAAAAACTGTTGCAAAGTAACTCAACAAAGATTCAAAGTGTCATGAAACCTGGTTGTCTATGCATGTAGATGTATGAGTTCGTGCTCACAATTGTCAGTGTTTTTTATGCTTCAAATTTTTTCTGTAAAAGCTAGGGAATTGTGTCTAGATTTTTTTTCTGTCATTTTTGTTGTCTTTTATTTGGTAAAAGCTGTGATTTACTCCATCTCAAACGTAAGTTGTTAGTAATGCCACTGACAGTGTTATACATTATATAAAGTATTATCTCTTCTATAAAATATACATTAAGCAGAACATTGTCTCTTGCACGAAAGTAATATGAACTAGCTCAAAATTTGATATTCCTGGCAATATTGTAGGTTACCTATAGTGTTTACCCTCATATGACAGCAATGTAGTTTATCTATAACATTGATTCTTGACAGTAATAAAAGTAACTGTAATTTTTATTTCTTGCCATCCTCAACCATATGGCTCATGTATAATAAGTGAACTCTGTAATTATAATTAAGTTGGAGTTGTACAAAGACCTTTTTATTTTTCTCTTACTGTACAATCTTTGCTTCGTAGGTGTTGGAGAAAGTGGAACAAGCAGCACAAGCCTTGAATAATTTATTAGAAGACAGGCTTGACCTTCGAATGCCACACATGGAATGTTTTGAAACACTAGATGAGGACAAATCAACTCCTAATTTTGAATGGGAAAAAGGAGAACTTCTAGTTTTTGAAGATGTAGCTTGCCAGGTATTTCCAGATAAAACCTCACTAACTTGACCTTATACAGTGTCAAAGAACAGTCTATTAATGCTGTCAAGATGAACTCATCCTGTCACAGTCTTGTAATATTGTATGTTCAACTAGTAATATTCAGCCACTCTCTTGATTACCTTTTATTCCCTTTAGTTATTTTAAATCTTATTTGAGCATAATGTGAGTCAGTTATATAGTGGATATGGCACATCATTTGTATTTCAGTTATTGTATATTTGCATTCAACCAATACATTTAACAATCTATGTTCAACTAGTAATATTCAGCCAGTCTCTTGATTACCTTTTATTCCCTTTAGTTATTTTAAATCTTATTTGAGCATAATGTGAGTCAGTTATATAGTGGATATGGCACATCATTTGTATTTCAGTTATTGTATATTTGCATTCAACCAATACATTTAACAATCTGTAGTAGTTAAATGTCTCTAATTGTGAAATGCCTCTACTTGTTAACTAACAGAGTAAATCAGTTGTTAATTTTATTTGGGAAACTTTTTATCCAGAAAAATCAAAATCTGATATTAAAAAAGGGTATTATTTTGGAAATTTATTTTGTTGTAAATTAGTTCATATAATCAGGATTATGCTACGTTGATAAGAGCATAACATTTTAACATAAAAGTCAAACATGAAATTTAAAGACAATGAGGGACCTGTTGGTCTGTCTAGGCCATCCCATTCTTGTAATGAAAAGAATAATGTATACACCTAGGTTTCGTATGATCTTGGGTGCTACCATTTCTACAAAGAAAACTATCAAGAAGCAAAAGAAGCTTTTTGTAAAGCCTCGTCATTATTTCCTAAGGTCAGTAACATGGTGTAAGTATTTTGTTTTATGCAGAGTTTCTAATTAAATGATGGTATTTTTTTCAACACAAACACCCTTGACATCTAATTTTATTAAATGCAACTTCTTTTTTTAAAGACCAGTAAAGTTATGAAAAGAAACAAAGAGTAGAAGTACCTTGTAACCCATGTTAGAACATTATTTATAAATCAAAGTTTGTTGTGGATTGTCACACGTGTTTGTAGTAATAATTAGATTAATAATTTGTCACATTGCAGCTATTGTTTTTCTCTCTTTTTAAACAGTAGTCTTAATATTATGAAATATGAAGATCCATTCATGACGGCAGATTATTGTTCAACAATATAAATCTTTATCCTTAGTGTTGCAACTCTTTCAGTTTAGTTGTTAACAGAAATTCATTGTAATCTTCATATAATCCATTACTGTTTTAAAGTGTTTGTGATTTCTTATACACAGATTCAGGTGCAGATTTACTATAGAGACAAACAAGGCCATAGCCTAGTTGTTAGATGTCATATTTGAGGGGGGGGGACAAATTGTGAGCAAATTGTAAAATTAAAACCTGCCACATGAGTCAGCTCAGCATCGTTTAGTACTGAACCTAGGAAGGTCAACAGGGTTGTAATTCTAGAAACCGGTGATTTAGGGTTATTTGATAGATCTCGATGGATAAAGCTCAGCACAAGTAAAACGAAAAATAACAAAAACAACTAAATATTAATGCAAATGTGACATGATGAAATCTATATGGATTATACTATGGTGGTACCATACTGTGCATTATACCATCCTCCTTATTCGTATTCTTCACTGCAGAAATGGCATTGTCTATTTGAGAATCACTAGGAAATCATCTAGTAATTCATGTGCTTCAACTTGAACGTCTTTGGGCTTTACTGTGCCATTAGTTTCACCAAATGTTGAAACTAATGATTTTTTATATACAATTAAAATCCCCCTTTTTGAATGTAATGATACCATTATGCAAGTGTTTTATGTTTCACTTTCAGTGCAGTAATCAGTTGACAAATCTACAATTCATCTGGTATGTCAAATTGATTGGGACATCTTGAAATATATTCTTTCCTCATCCGACTAGGACCCCCTGGTTTAGCTTAATCGCTACTTTTAAACCATCACATTATGAACCACATCTAGAACATCTTAAGCGTGTTTCCTTACTACATTGTTTTACTTTACATTTATAAGTTAACTTCCCCATGTTGGCTCTCATGGTCTTGGATTAGGTCAGGTTCAGTGACCTAGACCTCAAAAATAGTGCCGAATGTCTAATCAAAACAACCCAGACCATTCCAGAATGACTCATTTTTTTTGGATTCTCATCAAGATGCCAGGCTGGCTTGTGTGGCAGGTGTTAAATGTTAGTAAGAACTGAAGTAACATTATTCTACTTTTTACATTTTAACATGAATAATCACAGATTTCAGCTTTGTTGAAAAGGTTTTTTACAAATTTTAAATCCTATTTAATTTAAATAAACACATTTTTATAATCATTTTTGAAATTTAGAATTGCAATTTTATAACATTAGTTGTAATTGTTGTGGGAGGACTACACTAAATTTCGAAAATAAAAGATAGAAAACATACAACTTTTTTGTGAAGAATTTATAAATTACTTATTTGTAAAAGTACTGAAACCTAGAAAATACAACAGGGAACATTTTGTAATCATACTGCTGGCTTTGCCTGGCTTCCAGTTCTGTGCACTAGACTTGCAGAAATTTTCATTGCGACACTCTTAATTGAATCTATGGTTAAAAGCAAGACTTAGAAGTTTGTAGAATTGTGACTAGTTATATTGCAGTATAACTTGAACAATTATAAATAAAAAGTTATAGTGTGGAATGCACCTGTCTTAATAATGAATAAAAGCTACTCATATTTGCACTGAAAAATGGACAGAAAAATATATGTATAAATTTGTACTTTAAAATGAAACATAGGAAAAAAAATTACTACACATGAAACATTAGAAGGGCAGCAGAATGCATTTAGCCTAGGGACAGTAAATTTTTAAGTCCACCACTGCATAGATTGTTAGGTTTTCCAGTTAAAAGTAGATTAGATGTTTCACCACTTTTCATGTTTTTTTTAGTTGACTAACATAATAGCAAGATGATTAATTTGTGTAAAAGTTACTCATACAAAACACTGTAAGTACGGTTCCATAGTTTTAAAATTATATATGTATTTATATTTGTTCTATGTTTTACTTTTAGCTTCAAAATCCAGTGATGTGTCAAGTAGAGGAAGCAAAATTGAAAGGCTACTGTCAGGCTTGCGGTATTACTACTCCTATTGTTAGTACACCAGAAAGTCTTCAAGAGAGACTTGTCAGTTCTGTCAAAGAAGGATTTAAAGTAAGTAAATTGTTGATATTTATAAAATTACTATTACAGACTTAAAGAAATTTTCTGGTATTCAGATGACATGCTTAACATTATAAGTCTTTCGCCTACAAAATATCATATTTTTAGTGAAGTATTTTAAATAAACTAAGAAAAGATTTAACCATGAATATATTGAGTATTTGTTTTCAATAGTCCATGTGCAAAGAAATTTTCTTGTGAGATTAAAAATACTTTTCCTCATCTCAAAAATCTCAAATTTCCTTTGTTGTATCCCTAAAACTACCTGAATGCATTTCAAATGGTTTTTATTCATCAAAACTTTATAGTTTATTTGTTATTTTCTCTACCATAATTCTATACAACATTGGTCAATTTGACTGACCTCGTAACCACCAAAAAAAAATTGAAATAAATCTAAATTAGCCTTTTTTGTCTTTCTAGAATGACTTCAATTTGTAACATGAAACTACATTCGTTTATCCTAAGTAGCTTTAAACTTGTAACAGTATACATCTACTTATAATTAAATTTTATTGTTTTATTGCTCTTTGAACCACGTCCAACTACTACTAAATCACCTGGGGAATGTGCGGCTCGCGTTATGCTATCGAATTACATTACCCACAAGCCATTACGAGCTGCTCATGTTCATGCCTCTTGGAAAATTTTTATTATATTATTATTATCATTTATTTTACCTAATTTAATCTTAATTATTCTAAAAAGATCCCAATTTTTACTTTTTAATTACATTTATAATAATAAATACAGGATACACATGAAAACAAGAAAACTCAATCATCTTTTTTTCTTGCTGTCGATTGTCCATTTAATAATGTATCAAAAACTATAGACTAATAACATGGAAGAAGTAGACAATTTCCCCTAACTCTCAAATTGTTTTGGCTTTCTATTTGACAAGAGCTGTTACAAATTCATCCAAGATATTGGGAACAAAGCTTGTATTAACTAAGAAATTGATGACTATCTGTTTAGAACACAACGTTATACCATACATCATTTGACAGATGAGAACCTTGGCTTTCTATTGGTTATAGGTAATATATAATTAAACGTAAGGGGAGAACTATTAACAAATCCCGAAAGAGAGGATGTGACTGGTGGGTTTGGCAGAAGGAGTCTGATTTTCTATTTGATAGCTCTATAACCAAACAAAATTGAAAGCTATAAAAATTATGGTTTGTCTGAGCAATGACAATTTTATAATGGGTAATTTAATTTTAATTTCGTAGTTACTGGAGGGTTAATGGATACCTAGAGAAAATGTGTCACGTGAGTCACACTAGAGGAAATTCAGGATTTTTTCAAATATTGCCTTATAGAATTAAGAACTTAAAACATTTATGCTATTAAAATAAGGATTATTAACTAAGATTTTATGTTATGCTAATTAGTATAACATGAACAAAAGGTATTTTAATAAAATTTTGAATGTAAAACACTAAAACCTTGCATCATGTGCAGTTAAAGATACCTGTGGCGATAGGGTTAAACTTCTTTTGTGTGTGTTGAAAATCTTTTTGTTGTCAAAATTCATGTTCAAAACTACTGAATAGTCTATTGTAACAAATCTAGAGTGATTATTAAACAGGTCATACCATATTCGGCTAGTTTTTTTTCAAGCAATATTTGTTTATATGGTTACAGGATTTGGTGAAATTACTACAAGAAGATAACATAAAACGAGAGATATCTCTTCCCATCAGATCAGAGATACAGCTTGAAGTGTTGAAGAAAATGGGCAGGTAAACAGGACTTTATATATTGTTTTGTTATATAGTAAGAAAAGGCCTAACATTTTGTAGCATTAAACACGAGAATAACCATCATAGGTAGGTAATATATTAAAAATTAAGTTTTACAAATTAAATATGTTCTGTGAGAGGTGTTTTCAGCTCATTCAGAATTAGAACCTCATCTAGGTTTTGGAAAGATAACTGTTTGTGAACATTTTAATTATTTAGTGTATAGCTGAAATTTGTATATTTTAAGTGCAGGAAGTATAAATATCTTTAATTAAGTTTTACTGAAGTAACAACCAGTAGTTAAAATAATTTATCATATTTTAACACTTGCAAAGAAATTACTGAAGGACAATCATTTTGGGCATTAAAACAAGAAAATTAAAAATAAGTTAACTCTTTCAATCCGGGCTCAGTCCCTAGGACTGACCTCGTAACTGTTTTGTGCTTGTTATAGTTTTTATGCTATAACTTTTAAATTAGTAAGCGAATGTTAACGAAATCTGGCAGTTTATCAGTAAACATTACAATGCTTTCATACGCAAAATATCAAATTTTTTTATTAAGTCTTAAGGTTTGTAAAGCAATGTTTTTTTCATGCCTTTTTTTTCTTTTCACGTGTTACATTTCTAACATGCAAAGTAATTTTCATTTTAAGATAAAGAATACTTTTATGCATCAGAAAATTTTCATATTTCACAAGTGAAATCTTTATAATGTCTGAATAGTTATCAAACATTTCTTAATAAAAAACTGTATGTTATCTGTTATTTTCAGTAATTAATCTCTGTACGGGTTTCATAAATTGGACTTGATCTCTCAACCACCATAAAAAATTAGGAAGTAAACATAAATTATGCCTCTTTCATTCAAGAATGAGCACAAATTATAACACGAAAACATAAATGTTTACACTAAATAGCTTAAATCTCATAACATTATACATTTATATATA